AGGATCCTGGAACAAGCAGTATTCAAATCAGCCTTTAAGTTAATTAAAAAAGTAGTAATGATTCAACCAAATGTGTTTTAAAGTTTGGATTTCCACACAGCTGAGGCATTGATCTTGGGAACTGAAGGTTGCAGGATGTTACTGCATGGTGCCCATGGTGAAGCCTACTGAAGCTTGCCAGCAGCACCACTGTGACAGGACCCAGTTGCATGGCCCACAGCAGACAGGAGCTCTCCAGGCTCACAGAAGAGTTTAGTGTGTTGCAAGACAGCCTCAGATGGCACTAGTTCTTTTTTAATTAATGACATCTGGATAGCTCCCATTTCAAAGCCCCCTTTGTTTCTCCCATTTGGGTTGCAAGCAGATAGGGCAGGAGCCATCTGCCCCTGCCCAGAGCCAAGCACCCAGTATGATCAGCCACCACCAGCTACTGATACTGGTGGCTATTTACTTAAATTAGTGTTTTTAAGTGGAAAAACAGATAATCAAGTGTCAAATAACAAGACACTTATGGCACTTCAGCCATCTGGATGCTCAGGATGGCCATCAGCAACAGCCACCATGGTGCTGCCAAGCAGAACACAGCACTAAGCCCCCACCAAGGGCTTTGTTTCACTGTGCCAGCTCTGTGCCCACACTCACCCTCATGGACAATGCTGACAGCCAGGCACTTGGCACAACTCCAACCAACAGGACAGGATTGTCCATTTGGTCAGCATTTCCCTGCCTCCAAAACAAGCAAGGACATACTTGTTTTCACAAACTGATTTCCAAGCAGTCGTACAGGCTGGGACAGCAGCATGTGGCATGCAGAAGATTCTGTGCACAGAATGCTTCAGAACACACACTGCTTTCTCCTGTTCCCACGCCACAGCTCACTGCCAAGACCTGTGCCCAACCTAGCAGAGGTAGTCAACTCCCAGGGAGTGAGCAATGGTAGCAGAAGTGGGAAAGACAACCCCAAGCCCCAGGCATGAGAGCCTCAGCTTGGTTTAAGCAGGACCAGTGAGGGAAGGGGGATGGAGAGCAGGGAGCATGAGCTTCTCCCCAACTGAGCAGCTGTCCTAGCCAGAGCCTGTGTCCTCTGCACCTCCCAGCACACCTCAAGTGCTCTGCAGTTCTTTGCATGCAGTCACTGGAGTCTGAACATCAACAGGACCAAAGGGACAGCATCAGGGCAGGGCCCATCAGGGCCAGGACATTACCTCCAAGAATGTGGCTCAAAGCCTGTGCACATCCCTCTGCAACGTAAACAAGGCACACCTCTTCCTGACTGCGGCTGGCTCACCGACATCTGGAAGAGAACAGGACACTGGAGTTGGAAACGCTTTATCCTCAAAGATTACCTGAGACTAGAATGCTAATAGTGTGTTTTGTCCTTCAAATGATTTCTTCAACCATGCCTTATGTCCTGTGAAACCTCAAACCTCCCAAAGGCCATTTGACCACTGTACGTGCAGACCTGCTACAAGTTTATTTAAGGATGCTTGGGATGCAGGTTTTTACCTTAAAGTGAGGGAAGATGGCACGTGTAAGGGGGACAACACAAACACAGTGAACATGCACACAGAGGCCCCAGGTCTCATTAAAACATAATTTTGATTCAGCTTATATTTTGCTAATGAACCTGCACAAGTGAAATCTCCTCCAGTGGGACACGGAGGTGCACTGCCATAACCTGATGCTAAACTGGCTTTACTGCAGCTTGGACCTCCTTGGTCTTTTCTGCAGAGGCCCATGAGCAGAACAGTTAAGACTGCAGAGGTTTCTAATGCTCGAGAGGCTGTTGCCTACCTATGCAGTATTAATCTAGTCCATATGCACTTCTGTGTTATGACAGCATATGATCTTGTAATGAAAGACTATTCAAACCTCCTCCAGCCCCAGCTCCTCATCTTCCTCACCCAGCCCCAGCTCTTCTCCTCACTCAGCAGCCCATGGCCCTTGTCCATGCACGTTGCCTCCCTCCCCAGCAAGGGCAGAGGCTTCCAAAGCTTTACATGGGAATGGGCAGAGGCAGTCTTTGCCAAATCCCATTTTTCAAGGGAGGAATCAATAGCAGTAAAAGAACAGAGGTTATTTTTAAAGTGTGCACTGGGGCAGTGTGCTTGCTCCTTCACTCTGCAGTGCTGGGGGTGGTTAAATCCCACTTTGAGGAGGCTCTGCAGGGATCTTGTGAAGGTAGCTGGGCATTGCAGGCAGAAGTGTAGCTGGTGACCAGCCCTAAGCTCTTCCCAGCAGCACTGGGCTTCACAGCTCTACTGGGATGCAAAGCTGGTGATGACACTGCCAGCTGCTCCTTCCTCCCGCTCCCACCCAGATCCACCCATCCCACTTCCAGCACCAGCTCCTCAAAGCTCCTGCATGGATGTGCAGTGCCTCAAGGTCTCCTCTGACATTCAAACTCATATGCCACTTTTCAAGAGAAAGAGGTTGTTTTATGGCACTCTGTTAGGAAAGGCATTTAATTTACTTGGAAAACCGTTGCTAATAGGGACAAAGCTTTTATGAACAGATGGTTCTGGGAAGAGCTGGGTGCTGGTTTGCCAATTTTAAGGTAAACAACAAGCCTTTAACATGGTTGTTTTTGCACAGAACTATCAAGCCTCCACATGAGGCTGCTCATCCTTGAGAAACACAGCCTAAAGGGTACGAAATGGCCCATTTCAGCTCACTTCACTCAGGAGATTGCCATTTCATTTGTGCCTCTGCTTTCACCTGTAGTCATCACCTCTTTTCACCTGCAGTTTTTCTAGATACTTTGAAGCCAGTGAAAAGACCTCTCAGTCTGGGAATTCATAAAAACACATCTTAAAAACAGCCTTAACATGCACAGATACTCCCCACCCTGCCCCTAATATTCAGAAAAACAGGCCATTTGATTCTCCAGCTGTGTGCCAGCAATCCAGAAGGGATAGATGTGAAGATTCCCACAGACCACACAATCTTGCCAGTTCTGGAATCATGTGCTCAATGCCCACTAAGTGATGGGGTTTTTTAACTGACTCTGATGTTAATGAGGCAGAAGCTGAGTGTAGGCAAGTGACTGTGAATTGTTGTTTATTTAATATACAAACATCTGGATTAAATAAACTCATTCGGAAAAGCTTCATTACATACAAGAGGAAAAGCAAAGAGAAAAGCCTTATCAGTAGCAAGCATCAGTACATGAAACCCCCATAACCAACCTGATACTTCACAGTCCCAGTAAGTGCCTGTTCAGGAGCTCATAGCCATTTGGGGTGACTACAAGCCTGTGACCTCCACACTGATATGTATTCCCAGTGTTTCACTCCGTTCCTTCACTGTTAAACCCCTATCTTGGTAATTCATTCTACTTGTCCAACCATGACTTCTGGTTCATGTCCTAGGTCCAAGCATAATTGAGGGTAACTGATGTTTACCCAGCCTAACCCATGGAACTATCTACTGAATCAGTGCTCCCAGAACACCCTCGTGCCAGCTCTCCAGAACAGGCTGGCACTACCCATCACCCCAGTTAGCTGGAGGATCGCTGCCTTCAAGCTGTTGGATCTGTTTTAGACATCTACCCAGCTCCAAAAACTGCCATGCAATGGCTTGGTGATGACCGTGCATTGCCAAGGGCAGGGTGAGCATCCCAAAGCCAGCCAGCTGGCAGAGCTGGAATCAAACGGGTGGTGCCCCATGCCACTGTGGGCTGAACAGCCAGCTCACAGACCGATGGACAAGGCCAACAAGTGGTTCCAAGCCAAAGGGTGGCACAGCTCCTCCACATGGGGACAGGGCACAACCACCAGCCCAGAGCCCCACAAGCTCATAACCCTGGGGACAGCATCTCCTCATGACTGCCCAAAGCACAGCCACATCTCTAGTTGGAGGACAGCATTATCCCTCGCTCCCTCAGAAGTAGAAGGAGGTTTGAGCCACTCATTTCCATCTCTGTGCAGAGGCCAAACACAACAGGCGCCGCTGCCTGTTTTTTGGGCTGCCTGGTCAGCAGGACTTCCTGCCCAGATATGGAGCTTCTCCTCACAGCTCCACTCTGGCTCCTCAAATATGCATAAAAGGAGATTTCTTAAAAAGAAAGACACAAGACACTGCAAAAAAACACCCAAACCCAGTAAGATAATGTGAAACAAATGCTCCCTTGACTATCTCAGACTCCACCTATGCCCAAACCCATCTGGGAACAGCAGTGTTAAACAAGGCGATACTGGAGTTTAAGAATTTGAAGACATTTGTAATGCCTTTAAAAAAAGGCTTGTGTCAACAAACCACTTGGAAGAAAAGCAAATTCTGCTCACCATGACTAGATATACAACACATTTTGAGATTTCTGATTTGGCTTTGTGTCTTATAGCATTCTTGCTATTAAAAGCGAGAAAGCAAACCAGTGCAGAGGAAATTCTTCAGAAGTGAAATGATACGAAATTGAGGCCATTTTACCCACAAAAACATCTCTGAACAATCTCAGGAATACACCAGTAATACCATGGTTCACTATTACACTGGCCAAAGACAAGGCCATCCTAGACACTGGTAAGTTCACTCAGCGGTAATTAAACAGAGCCTGTTTAAGTGACAAGGAAAAGCAAGGGTCCAGCTTGGTTTGCAGTTTGAGGACTCCTTTGGAAAGGAGCACTGAGCTTTCAAGGCAGGTCTGGCAGGATGGACCCCTCGTTAGGAGTTATGAGCAAGTCAGAGTCCCACTCCACCAGCCTGTTCCATTTGCAGCTCAGCTGAGACTCCAGGAGGTTCTTTGTGTGTATCATCACACTTTGACCAGCACAGCACACCTTGGCTAACGACCCCTGGCCAGAGGATGTACTGAAGCTAGTTTGACAATAGAGTTTGGTATGAGGACTGTCCTCAATGGCACATGGAGAAAACACTGGGGTTTACATCCACAAGACTCGAAAATCCTTCCAACGAGTGGAAGCTTCTTCTCACACTCACAACCAGTTCAGTGCCAGAGATTTAATACATCCAAGAGCAGACTTCAGACTAAGCTTAGGTCTTTCCCAACAAAGGCTCCTCTAGAAGCAACCAGGTTAATGCTACAGACAAGAAGGTCAAGCTTCTAGGCCACAAATAATTTGGTAAGGTAGTTTTGATCTCCAGCAGAAGCATGCTGCAATATCACAAGAATACAGAACAAACCAGAGACTTGGTTAAGTGACAAACAAGGTGGAAACAAGAAAGTGGATCCAGCTCCAGCTGCTAAATCAGTCACTGTAACAAGAGGATAACTGAAGTAAGAGATCCTTATCAGATCAGGGATGCTTGGACCATACTCCCTAGGAATACAAACTCCCTGAAACACCAATGTATCTCCTCACAGTATGGTTTTGCCATTAGCAGCACATACACCACATACCACAAGAAAGTGCAGGGTAGCCTCAGCCAGAAGAGGACAGCCACCTGGCCAGCAGCAGCACTGCCCACCATGCTGCTGTGGATGGAGGTGTGGACCTGTCACAAGGGTCACAAGCCCAGCTAGCAGTTTAATTTGGAGTTGCATCCTCAGAACACGCCTGAAATAGGTGTCAGAGTTGCGGCAAGTTTGGTCAATGTGGTTATTAACCAAGGGCTGCCAAAGAGTCAAAGAACATACACCCTCCTGGCAAGAGTTCATCTCACACACAGCGATGGGACATGAGGCAGGACTCTGCTTGCTCCGACTTGCCACGCTCAATGCCAGCAGAGAGCAGAAGTAATATTGGAGCAGATCCATGAGTGGGCTGAAGGGTAACCCTACAAGAGCCTTATTCTTCCCTGGCACTGCAGTGTGTGTCACTCACTGCTCTCCAGCCTCTCAAAGGGCTTTTGGGACCAGCTGCTGCAGCCACCACTCCAGAAGTGGGTGGTGGAACAGGGCTCTCCTGCCTCTGTGGAGGTTTCTGGATCCCAAAAGCACTTATTGCACAGCACCTTATTTGGAGACCAGAAACGGCGATGGAGTCACGTAACTACCTCAAGTATGTTTTCTCCTCCTTTTTAGGGAGGAGAGAGGAAAAGCTGGTTTCCAAAAAGTTACTACAACTTCACAACAGCCCTTTAGAGCAGAGGTCCTCATTTCACCTCTCCTGAGTGCTCCCCAGCACCCATGGCAAGCTCTATATAAGCCTTTCTGTGCAGCCTCTGGAAGACGATCATGCAATCTCGGTGTTGGATAACCTACCTCAATAAATCACAGCCAGGACAGAAGAGAGCTTAAGTGAAGCAAAGGGACCACATGAACACTTTGGGGGGGGTTCCTCCAGCTGCAACACATTTTGGAGATTAACAGCTCTAACTTTGAGAAAGTCCCTT